CTCTGCCCGGCTGCTGCAGGAGAAGCTAATTGTGCCCTGTGCGCATGCCCCTCTGCAGTCCGAGAACAACTCCCTCCCGGCCGTTCCACTTGTGAGTATTCAAGTCTGCCCGTGGGGGGAAATTTCGGCTGCACGCACGCCCTGCGCGATACCACTCCGTGCACCACCCATGGAGAGTCCACCGTGCTACCAACCACCTCATCGGTTCATGGCGTGCGGCCGCCGCGGAGCCAGAGCTCCACGGACCGTCGCGGTGCCCCCTGGCTCGTGGAGGTATGGACGAATGCCCAATGCTCAGGGCCTCTGCGGGTCGTCGAAGGGACCCCTCCCCCTCGTCCAACACTTCGCCGCGTGCATTGCCCCCCTTCTGAGGCTGGGGAAACGATGAGGGGGGGGGAGACTGACACAGGGGGGATGCATCAACCTGTAATCGGAGATGCCTCGCCGGTAGATCGGCGATGATGGGGGGCAACGATAGGGGGAGACTGGCACAGGGGGGGATGCATCGACCTGTCATCGGCGATACCTCGGCGATAACTATATCGGCGATGGTGGGCCCTCGAGATCGAGTCCGTACGTCCTTGGGCAGGTTGGGGCTATCGGGCCACCGTCGGCTATCAATGGGCGAGTGCGGGTCGATGCATCCTCCTCCTCCTCCTCCTCCTCCTCCTCCTCCTCCTCCTCCTCCTCCTCCTCCTCCTCCTCCTCCTCCTCCTTCCCCTCCTCCTTCCTCCTCCTCTCCTTCCCTCCCCCTCCTTCTCCTCCCTCCTCCTCCTCCTCTTCCTCCTCCTCCTCCTCCTCCTCCTATCCTCTATCCTCCCTACTCCTATCCTTATTCCTTATTAGAATATACTCCTACTCCCCCCTCAGGCCGGCAGATAGGGGCCCCATCCGGGTGGTCCCATCCTAACCTGTAAAAAACAATACAAAATCAACATTTTTCTTATTTTTTCCTCTCGACATGGACGTCCTGTCGTCCACGGCGATAATCCATTGCAAAAAATACCACAAAGAGCACACGCGCGCGTTCATGTCAGAATCCTACCGAACACCGTGTGTTTGCAAGCATTTCAACATGAAAACATCAAAAACCCAATGCTTTTTCACAAAAATTCTACACATTTCCTGCCCAGGGCTCTCTTGCTGAAATCATAGGAAAACCATAGGAATCTTAAGAATTCTGCCAAATCCAGCGATTTCACGTCATCGCGCGGTGCACTCGCGATGCTCTGTCATGCACCCAGGCCGCGAATCCTGTGCAAAAAATACCACGCGGGCGACATGCGCGCGCGTCGCCGCGAGCGCATGCTCAAATCCTTCTAGAGTCGTCGCCGTCATTGGCACCGTCGCATGGACGTCCTGTCGTCCACGTCGCAAAATGCATGGCAGGAATGGGACCCGGCTTACCGGGCCGTTCTCGACACGGCCACCTCTGGCTTCCTGCGGTGTACCGGGCCATTCTCGACTCGTCTGGCAATGCGTGCGCGGCATTCAACACGCGCTCGCCAGTTCCCGTCGGCAACCGCCATCGCGGCCGCATCAGCTGTACCAAACCGGCTGGCCGGTGTGACTTCGGCCCCCAGTTGTGCCAGCTTTGCTTCTTATGTTGTGGGAGGGCGGGTGGGACTGGGCATGCCATGCTTGACTCGCTCGAGCTGGCTAGCTTGACTCCTACTCCTACGCCTACTCCTACTCCTACTCCTCCTACTCCTCCTACTCCTCTTCCTCCTACTCCTCCTCCTCCTCCTCCTCCTCCTCCTCCTCCTCCTCCTCCTCCTCCTCCTCCTGAAGCTCTCCCCCGAACCCCACCCTCTCGTTGCCCCCCACCCGAGGCTCCCCGGGAGGCCCAGCGCGTCCCGGGGGGCTGCCAGCCCGGGGCTCTCCAGCAGTCTCGAAGGCTTCCCCGGGACCTAGGCAGCACAGGCAGGCGACCAGGCCCGCCAAGAGGGCCCAGGCACTGCCTCAAGGAGCCACCCAAGCCGCCCTCGAGGAATACCCCTTCTCAAGAGGCGCCCGAGGGGCCCCAAGAGGCTCCCAAGACACCCCAAGGCGCTCTCCAGCAGAGCCTCGGAAGTCTAACACGTGAATGTCCCTCTGGCTTCTCAGTGTTATTCGCTGTCCACGCTCTTCGGTCGAATATCGTCCCACCTGATGCCTTCGAGAATGCAGACAGGGCACACTGAGATCCCCAAAGAGGGCCCATGGTTGGCCCAGGAGAGGGTCTCCAGAGGGACCTGCCTAAGAGAACATCTAGACGGCACAAGAAGGCCCCAAGGCGGCTCAACGACGGTCCCACGAAACCCCCCAGACGGCCCAGAAAGCCCCAAGACGGCCCGGGAGGGTCCCTAGACGGCCCAGGAGGGCCCCAAGACGACCCGAAAGGGCACAAATGGGATCCCAAAGACTGCCCCCACGGGAGCCCAAGACGGCCCCGAGACGGCGCAGATGGCCCCCACGCCACACGAGGGCCTCCTCGGGAAGAGGAGACGAGAGGCGTCACGCGTGATGGCCTGCCCAGCAGCGCCCGAGTGACCGCCACGCAGAGAGCGCTTCGCTGACGCGGCGGCGGAGGGGCCGCGGGCACCCAGGCCCCAGCGAACAAGGCGTCAGGGTGGGGACCGGCTCGGGGCAGGAACCATCGAGCCAGAGCGGGAGACACATCGCCGACAGGCACGTCTGGACGCTCCTGGGCGGGGTGGGCTGTCAGGCCACTCATCGGCGATGAACGGACGATTGGGAGCCGACGCATCGCCCCCTGAGCCTGTCGACCCCCCGAAGGATGCCCCTGAGGGCATTGATGGGTCGCTGCGGCACCAAACATTGGAAACCAAAAGGTACTGATACCCCTAGGCCCTCGACATCTCCCAGGGTCTGGCCAGAATGTCGAGGCGAATCCAGCGGTGGCGACGAGGGCCTCCCGGAAGGCCCAAAAAGGCACAGGGTAAGAGTAGCCGTACCTAGAAGAACAAAACACTACATAAATCTAAACTTGCAGGGATACGCTCGGAAATCCTGGATCTGCGCTGGAACCCCCCTCCTTGGCGCGCGGAGCGCGCCAAGGATCCCCGCGCAGATCATCCAGGCGGAGCTCCGAAAGCTCACGTGTATGCCGTTTGCTCCCCGAGGTATCGGAAAACCTCTCCTGCCCTGGCAACAGGAGACACCCTGATCAGCGAACTGCGCGCGTCTCGCCTCACGACGCGCGCATGCGACGACACCCTGGCTCCGACGCGCCCGTGCGCCGGCCGGCCCCGCAGAGCACCGCGACCCTACGGCCCAAACCGCGGAGCCTGGTACGGCGGGGGCATTGGATAAGGGACCCGCGGACAAGAGGTCCACGGTCTGAAAACCTGGTGGGACACCAATCGAGGCGTGGCCATGGATATCACTGCTGCCCTCCTCGGACAAGGATTCCTCCAGGGTCCGACGCCTCCTGGGCACATTCCTTGACTCAAGTTCCCACCGTACGCGCAGAGGTGCGCTCGCGCCCCTCGGCTCGGGGGTGGCTGCTGGAGGTGCCCCTGGCCCGAGGCCCGAGGAGTTCCCAGTTTCTCGCTCACTTCTGGGGCCCATGGGAGCTAGAAATCTGCTGCACCACAAGAGGTCCTCCTCCTCCTCCTCCTCCTCCTCCTCCTCCTCCTCCTCCTCCTCCTCCTCCCTCCTCCCTCCTCCTCCCCTCCTCCTCCTCTCCTCCTCCTCCTCCTCCTCCTCCTCCTCCTCCTCCTCCTCCTCATGGGAGCTAGAAATCTGCTGCACCACGAGAGGGCTGTCCCACGAGGAGTCTCCCCGCGGAGGGAAGCGCTCCGCGGCGATCCGAGCGGTCGCAGCTGCTGGCACCGGGCGCAGCGCGAGAGAGGGAGAGAGAGTGCCACCAGAGGCCCGAGGCGAGGGCCCCATGGGGCCCTCTGGGCCTCGTGATGGGCGCTCCGGGGCCATGGATTAAGTCGGGCCTGTCCCCCCTACAGGGGGATTTTCGACGAAAAATGAAAAAGACCCCCACAAATAATCAAACAATCATCCAAAAATAGCCTGGGGAATATTTGTTGAATATGTCTTGACCTTCTTGGGCTATTTTGGGGGTATTTTTTTCGTCGAAAATCCCCCTGTAGGGGGACACGCCCGACATAAGCCATGGAAACCGTTGGGGGCCTCCTCGGAAAGCCGGAGGGCACCCTGGGCCACGACGGGGCACCTCCCGCGACACCCGGTCTGCGCGGCGACGCCGAAGACACACGCTCGGCCACCGCAACGCCTGGCGCGCGATCGCGCGCCCCAGGTGCTGCGTGATCGCGCGGGCGACAGTGCAAGAGCGGTCAGCGTTGAACCGGGACATCTGGGGAGACCGAAAGGTACAGGGCAGGTTTTTAAGACATCGGATTTAATAAAATATCATATTCTAAATACATGATAAAAGTATGAACAAATTTACGCATGGACGCATCGTTTTTGTAATATTAAATCCCTGCATGTTTTATACATGATCCGCACGCGGAGCATGTATTAAAAACGGCACTGTACCGAAACCGCTACTCCCCGGGTCTCTCCCTGGGTGCGTGCTGACCAGGGTCTCGGGGCGAGTCCAGCGGTGGCGACGAGGGCCTCCCAGGAGGCCCCAGGGGAGGAAAACGGGCGAGGGGTAGTGTAGAGGTACCGTTTCCTCGTCTGAGAATCGGGAAATCGGGCCGAGCGGGAGCGTCGGATCGGGCTGCATCGGCACCGAGTCGGCGTCGACTCGGATCGGCCGCGCCAGGATGCACAGGCCCCGCCGCGCGAGCGCATCGGGCGGCACCGGATCGTGCGGGGATGCCGGAGCGGAATCGGATCGCGCACCCCCGACAGCGACATCGAACCGGATCGACCAGATCGAAACGGACCCTGGCAAATGCGGGAGAAACGAGAATGGCACAGGCTCGCGGGAGGAGGTGGACAACGACGACGACGACGACGACGACGACGACGACGACGACGACGACGACGACGACGACGACGACGACGACGGC